GAGAGAAAGAGAGAGAGAAAGAGAGAGAGAGTAATAAGAAAAATACAGCCTTAATGGTGGTTCAGCTCGTTAAATTTTGTTCATGTTTTTCCACCTTGCTCAGAAGCGGCAAGGAATTACCAGGAAATTGAGATACGTGAACATGCCCCAGCTGCATTCGGGTAAGTGTGGGAGTTCTTATGCACATGATATGAAGAAATGGGACGTGCCGTTTCTATTTGCTTTAGAATAGGATTGTATACGAAATAAGAAGGGAGAGTTTCGCTTTCAACACACACCCACACACCCAGACTCAGACTCAGACATGTCCATCGCGGAAGCCATGATACACATAGCAATTTGTGCTGGGATTACACCTGGTGAATGTTACCTCTTATAAGCCGCGCTGTCATCGTGCCAGAGTCGTTGTAACGTTGCAACGTGCAACAAGAGTGAGTTAGTGTACAGTATAGCAACATCATTGGCGTAATTCCAGCATAATATAGCATAATCACAGGCATATATTGTGGCATAATGGAAAGCAAAATTCAGCACTCTTCTGAGTATAATCCGCTAAGCAATTCAAGGATAATGTAGCATATTCACTGGCATAATTTGGGCATAATCGAAAGCATAATTTACTGAGCATAATCCGCCAAGGGCTAACACTCACTAATTAGGCGATGATGGCAATACTACGGTAGTAGCCATGGCAACTTGTGCTGGAATTGCACCATTCGCCCGCTTGCAAGGCTGAAGAAGTCTTCAGAAAAAACCCAATACATTCTGATTGGCCGTATTGACCTTATCTAAAACCACGAGGGTTTTCCCTTATGAGTTAGTATTTTGAAGTACTCATATCAGTCATGTCTGGTGTACTTTACCCGGTGCACAGAAATCAAGAAGGAATTCCCGAATCTCCACCAACACCACCAAACTCTCCAGAAACACCACCACCACCAACAACAACAACAAACTCTCAACCCCCAAACCCTTCAGCACCACCACCACCAAACTCTCCATCCCCAAACTCTCCACCCCTAAACTTTCGAGCAACATCACCACCATCACCACCACCACCAAACTCTCCACGGCCAAACTCTCCACCCCCAAACTCTCCACGCCCAAACTCTCCAGCAACATCACCATCACCACCACCGCCACCAACAACACCCCCAAACTCGCCACCCCCAAACTCTCCACTCTCAAGCTCTCCACCCCCAAACTCGCCACCCCCAAACTCTCCACTCTCAAGCTCTCCACCCCCATACTCTCCAGCAACACAACCACCACCACCATCACCAAACTCTCTTACATCAGGACCACTACCCTCATTATCACAACCATTATTCTCTTTTCCATCACTGCAATCAACCTTCTCTGAGTCACTACCAACACTCATATCTGGGTCATCATCGTCACTCTCATCTTCGCCACCACCATCAACCTTTTTGGAAGATGTTGAGGTGACGTCAGTACATAATGTACGAGGCGAACAAGAGGACGGGCTGGATCGACGCGTGTAATGGCTTAATTGAAAATTTGAAAATGATGTGGAGAAACAAAACAGAGTTACGCATATTACCACCAGCAGCGCGATTGGATCGGCACAGAAAGAGTAGACCTCGTAAGTAACACATGCCTTGCAACCGCCGGTCGCATCATCCGCAGCGGCTTTCGGCTGCCATTGTCGGTTACGCCAGAGCCAGCACCTGTGCTTGGATCACCTACAACAGCAGTACCATCATTAACCTCAACACCAGCAGTAACACACAGGAATCAATGATACGAATGGATAAAGTCGCAAGGACAATGAGCGCGAGGCAACCATGCAGCTCACCAGGTAAGCAAACGTGGCAACAGGTGGGGAAAGTCCCCAGATCGCCTCCGTGAAAGCACCGTTGTCGCAGCCTCTGGCAGAGCCCACGCTTCTATCAATGATATCAGAAGAGGCTAGAGAATTGTATTTCATTTTAACAGTGTTGTTGTTGTTGTTTTTGTTGTTACTCGTTGGTGCATAATTCGTGATGTATACAGCATTGACCTTTCTTGTTTTCTTTCTCCACGTGATTTTCACGTTTTTAGCCATTACATATGTCGATCCGGCTCATCAATTTTTGGTACATTTAAAGGTGATGTTAGACATTTTTCTTTCATGATCGAAGCAGCGAGTTTTGCAGGAAAAACCATCACGTGCCAATATCTACAACTTGGAGTCATGCTACCGGTGTGAATGAGGTCTGCAAGACAGAGCATGTTGGGAAGTGGAACTAGGTCTAAAACCAGTTTCTTTTTCAAAAATACGACGCGGAAAGAAGGAGGAACACCAAAGATACAAGGGATGAAACTAGGTGGAACTAGGTCATTCAGTGCCCATCTTTATTTTTTACAAAGACCACTTCCATGCCACGCAAGAGATGAATCATGTGAAGGCAAACACTGCATGAGTCGGGCCCGGGCAGTGGCGGTGAAGTAGTTTAGGGAGCTCCGCCGACCTAGGGTCACACGTCATCATAGCTAC